TGGGATTTCAACACCCACAGGGATCTAAGCAGCAACAATTGGGATTTGAATGATGGGTTTAGCCATGATTTTTCGCCGATTTTAATTGTCAATCATCACCTATGATAATCATAATCACAACCATGGTATCACAATCATGATTGGTAGTACCACATGATGTGTTTCTTTTAAACAATCAGCATTACTTCCCAACAGGACTACGAGAAAGGTTCGGGGCAGGTTTCAGTGCGCTTTCCAGGCTGGTTTTGGGAGGTTCCAAGGTTCCGGTGGAGGGTCTGGTGAGGTTCTTTCTGCAATAGAGGTTCCGGTGCGGGTTGTGTGGTGTTTCCAGAGATTCTGCTGGGGCGGTTCACGAGGTTCGGTGTGATTTCCGGTGTGGGTTCCGGGATACGTTACACATCTACAGGGTTGAAACTTGATAGGTGTTGAGTGACTGCTGTGACACTTTCAACCACCTTTGCTGTTGTGGATACCACCCGAGCTTATTGTATGAACCATTATAATCATTGCCAAACAGACATTATCATAACGGCTATTACTTTATTGTTATTGTTACTATTGACATTATTGTCAAAGGAAGTTGGGAAGCAATACTTCCGTGTTACGGACAAATAGAATTCTGAGACTTGAAATGATGAAGGGTGGTGCGCGATTGAGACTTGACCTTGATGAAGGGTGGTGTGAGACTTTACATGACATAACAATACATCACATTGAGACTTGACCTTGATGAAGGGTGGTGTGAGACTTTACATGACATAACAATACATCACATTGAGACTTGACCTTGATGAAGGGTGGTGTGAGACGTGACAGGGAAGTTGTGACGAAGGGAAGGGAAGTGGTGACGAAGGGAAGTGGTGACGAAGGGAAGTGCTGACGATGGGAAGTGGTGACGAAGGGAACTGGTGACGATGGGCAAGTGGTGACGAAGGGAAGTGGTGAAGAAGGGAAGTGATGATGAAGGGGAGTGGTGACGAACGGAAGTGGTGAGGAAGGGAAGTGGTGAAGAAGGGAAGTGGTGACGAAGGGAAGCGGTGAAGAAGGGAAGTGATGATGAAGGGGAGTGGTGACGAAGGGAAGTGGTGAGGAAGGGACGTGGTGACGAAGGGAAGTGGTGACGATGGGAAGTGGTGATACTAACGGAAGTGGTGACGATGGGAAGTGGTGACGGAGGGAAGTGGTGACGAAGGGAAGTGGTAGTGCTGACGATGGGAAGTGGACGAAGGGAACTGGTGACGATGGGAAGTGGTGACGAAGGGAAGTGCTGACGAGGGGAAGTGGTGACGAAGGGAAGTGGTGACGAGGGGAAGTGGTGACGAAGGGAAGTGGTGACGAAGGGAAGTGGTGACGAAGGGAAGTGGTGAAGAAGGGCAAGTGGTGACGAAGGGAAGTGGTGAAGAAGGGAAGTGATGATGAAGGGAAGTGGTGAAGAAGGGAAGTGGTGACGAAGGGAAGCGGTGAAGAAGGGAAGTGATGATGAAGGGGAGTGGTGACGAAGGGAAGTGGTGAGGAAGGGAAGTGGTGACGAAGGGAAGCGGTGAAGAAGGGAAGTGATGATGAAGGGGAGTGGTGACGAAGGGAAGTGGTGAGGAAGGGAGGTGGTGACGAAGGGAAGTGGAGAGGAAGGGAAGTGATGATGAAGGGGAGTGGCGAGGAAGGGAACTGGCAACCATGAAGGGGAGTGGTGCATGATGTTGCAAGGGCTCTGTTGTGGGGAGGAAGCCGGAGCACCAAACCTTGTGTTTTTCCGTGTAAAGTGGCTGCAGCCGACGATGAAAGGTACCTCGTCTGTGCGACGGGTGCGGCTGCGATCGTTTTGTGCGCGAATTGTTCCTCCTATGTGTTTTGCAACGAGTCGTTGTGTCTGTGTGCGTAGTTCTATGCGGTTCTTGAATCTCTGGTTGCAAATTGCATTGGAATGGCTGCATGAATGTTGCATGGGCTATGTTTTGGGGAGGAAGCCGGAGCACGAAACCTTGTGTTTTTCCGTGTAAAGTGGCTGCAGCCGGCGATGAAAGGTACCTCGTCTGTGCGACGGGTGCGGCTGCGGTCGTTTTGTGCGCGAATTGTTCCTCCTATGTGTTTTGTAACGAGTCGTTGTGTCCGTGTGCGTAGTTCTATGCGATTCTTGAATCTCTGGTTGCAAATTGCATTGGAATGGCTGCATGAATATTGCATGGGCTATGTTTTGGGGAGGAAGCCGGAGCACGAAACCTTGTGTTTTTCGTGTAAAGTGGTTGCAGCCGGCGATGAAAGGTACCTCGTTTGTGCGACGGGTGCGGTTGCGGTCGTTTTGTGCGCGAATTGTTCCTCCTATGTGTTTTGCAACGAGTGGTTGTGTCTGTGTGCGTAGTTGTATGCGGTTCTTGAATTTCTGGCGGCAAATTGCGTTGGAATGGCTGTATGAATACTGCATGGGCTATGTTTTGGGGAGGAAGCCGGAGCACGATACTTTATGTTTTTCCGTGTAAAGTGGCTGCAGCCGGCGATGAAAGGT